TTTGCAAAACTACGCTTAGTACATAGATGCAAACTGATATTTTAAGCTTGTTAAAAGTTGGTCTCATTACATCGCATTTAGATACAGAAAATACATATATTAGGTAATATGTAGAGGTGAACATATGTAGAATTAGGATTCTAAGCCCAAGATATATTTATCTTCAACATGAACAAATACTATAAATTATTCTACAGAACAATTGTTCCAAATTATACCTCCACCAGCAATGAGTAATGGTTTCAATTTGTGTTTCCGAACTCATTTACTAATTTAATAGGTAGAAGTGGCATCTGTGACAGACACAGACACTATGTTTATACTGACCACATCTTTACTTGTAAAACCTTAAAAATTCCTGTCTCCACTATGGAAACCTTAAAAGGTCAAAAGTTTATTCCCTTGGAGAGGAATCCAAGTTTCCAGATACCAATCATGGGCCAGTCTTACAAGCAGGCCTTTCTAAGGATGGCCGTCTTCAAGCCTGATATATTAAGTCTTTTCTGTACAGTCCACTCCCTTGGCATTTGGCCAAGGTACCTTGACAGCTAAGCCCTTTAGAGGTCCGGAATTTGAATAGTTAAAACAAATTTCATTGATTATGAAAGTCTATCATAGAAAGCAAGGTGGTTTCCTCCTTCCGTTTCTGCATTTTAGTTTCATTTTTATTTGGCCTGAAGCATCAATTTGGACAGCACATACCTGGCTAAGTTGAATCATGTAAGCTCTTGAGGCTTTTCAACAGTGTCCTGATAATCAGGGTACACATGAAAGGAGTGCATTTCCAGAGGACACTAATAGTACCTGATATGGTTTGTATCTGTGTCCCCACCAAATCTCTTGTTGAATTGTAATCCGTAATGTTGAAGTTGGACCTGTTGGGAGGTGATTGGATCGTGGGGGTGAATTTCTCATGAATGGTTTAGCACCATCTCCTTGCTGTGATAATGAATTTTTGTGAGATCTGGTTGTGTAAAAGTGTGTAGCACCTCCCACCTTGCTCTTTCTCTTGCCTCTCCTCCCACCATGTGAAGTGTCTGCTCCTCCTTTCCCTTCAGCCATGATTGTAAGTTTCCTGAGCCCTCTCCAGAAGCAGAGCAGATGCCATCATCATGCTTCCTGTACAGCCTGCAGAACCTGGAACGAACTTAACCTCTTTTCTTTATAAACTGCCCAGTCTCAGGTATTTATAGCAATGTGAAAATGGACTAATATAGTACTCCTGAAAACAAGACTTCACAATTGTTAGGATACTCCAAGCAGGACATATGCAGATAGTCCTTGATTTAATGATTATTTGAATTACAGTTTTTTTTTACTTTATAGTTGGCTTACAGGGGTATTAAATGCATTTTGACTTAAGTTTTGACTGACAGTAGCTTTATTCAAATATAACCCCATCATAAGTTGAGGAGCATCTGTATTAGTCCAGCAGTTCCCACTATGAATTCTCACCATTGGGTCTCCTACATAAGGGTTTCCAGTTCATTTAATTCAGTTTGGTATTTGGTTTTCAGAATGTCTAAATACAGTCAGTTCCAAACAGATTAGCTTGTCCATGATACCAGTTCATATGCCTTTCATGTATGGATGACAATCATATATGAATGTTCTGTGTGAAAGTGCAGGGTCTGGATGTGGATGTGCACACCTGTAATCCCAGCAGTTTGGGATGCTACCACCAGAGGACTGCTTGAGGGCAGGAGTTCTTTTCTACTAAAAATTAAAAAATTAGGCCGGGCATGGTAACATGGATTATGCCTGTGATCCCAGCACTTTGGAAGGCCAAAGCAGGCGGATCACCTGGGATCAGGAGTTTGAGGCCAGTGTGGCCAACATGGTGAAACCTTGTTTCTACTAAAAATACAAAAATTAGCCCGGTGTGGTGGCAGTTGCCTGTAGTCCCAGCTACTCAGGAGGCTGAGGCAGGAGAATCACTTGAACCTGGGAGGCGGAGGTTGCAGTGAGCAGAGATCGTACCACTGCACTCCAGCCTGGGCAACAAGAGTGAAACTCCTGTGTCAAAAAAAATTAGCCAGGAATGGTGATACCAGTCTATGGTCCTAGCTACTCAGGAGGCTAAGGTGGGAAGATTGCTTGAGCCCAGGAGTTCAGGGTTTCAGTGGGCTATGATTACACCACTGTACCCCAGCCTGGGCTATAGAACGAGACTGTGTCAAAATAAATAAATCATAAAGAATTTTTTTAAAAAAGGAAAAAGTACAGAAGCTGGGCCAGCCTCTGCTGTCTCGTAATCAGGGCTGTTAGGTATAATCATAGGCTCAGCAGTCAGTTTGAGTTCAAAGTGCTGAAGACACTTAGAAAGGCAGCATGGGAAGTTTTCCTTCAGGAAGAGAAGAACACTTCCAAAAACAGTTCTGAAAAACAAATCATTTCCTATGCCTCCTTAGGTGCCCGGTTTTTGTTTTGTGTCTGTTGTTATAAAACGTGTCCCATTTAGCAATCTTAACTTTACAGTTTTCCAGCTATCTCTTGTTTTCATTCCAGACAGTCTGTCAGGAATAGGTGTGGAGGGGTCATACTCCTTCTGATGTGCCCCAACTTGTAGGAATTGGTTAGGACAAACGCCGAGTTTTCAAAAATTTCATAGTGGATTTACATAACTTCCCCACTCTTTTTTCCTGACCAGTTATCTAGTGAGCAGCCTAGGAAAACAATCCTTTTTGGGGAAAGCTTCCTTTAATAAACTGTTTCACTAAGATATGTGTACCAGGAGAAAGATAAGGGAAGTAGAGTCAGGTTTATCAGTCCATTGTAGTAAGTTGCAATGAATCAGAAAACCCAAACAAGGCAAAAGCAGTGAGACAGTGAGACATCCACTAGAGCAGCGTTCCCCAACCTTTTTGGTACTAGGGGCCAGTTATGTGGAAGACAGTTTTTCCTCGTACGAGCAGAGTGGGGATGGAGTTGGGATGAAACTGTTCCACCTCACATCATCAAGCATAATGAGCACACGGCCTAGATCCGTTGTATGTGCAGTTTACAATGGGGTTTGCGCTCCTATGAGAATCTGATGCTGCACTGATCTGTCAGGAGGCAGAACTCAGAAAGTAATGCTTTCTTGCCCGCTGCTCACATCCTGCTGTGCAGCCTGGTTCCTAACAGGCCATCAACAGGTACCAGTCTATAGCTCAGGGCTTGGGAATCCCTTCCCTAAAGGGAGTCCAGAATCCAGTCTGTCAGGAATAGGTGTGGAGGGGTCATACTCCTTCTGATGTGCCCCACCTTGTAGCTTTTGGCAGGAATCACAAATTAAGAATTGCAATTAGCCACTTCATCAGAAATACAGTCAATCAGCAGCTCAATTTTAGACTGTCCCATTAGAGAATAAGTCCTTTCCTGTGGGCATTTGGATGTGACCCAGACAATCCAGCTGGCATCTATTGATGTTTTTCATAGTTTAGAGCCCACAGAGGGGTGTCCTAAATTTGCAGCAGTCCCAGAGTCAGAGTTCTGCTCATTGAGCCTGTTCCTGCTTTTAGTTCAGCAGAGCTCGTGCTGAGGCTGAAACGGCCCATATCAGACAGTATGAGGTTTTAGCTAATAGTCAGACCTAGGTAATTAGGACCTGTGAATTTAGCATTCTCAGAAAGCTTGCAGTTAGTCTTTGCAGCAAGAAAGCGGAGACTCTGCAAAACCAGACAGCTGTGTTCCATGTCCAAGTGACAAACAAGGCTTTTACTTAATCCCTTTTTATTGTGGCAGTCTTAAGAGTCCAGATTGACCTACTCAAAACACACACACACATACACACACACACACACACACACACACACACTCTCTCTCTCTCTCTCTCTCTCTCTCACACACACACACACACACACACACACACACACCAGGCTGAAATATTGTGTGGCAGTCTTAGAGTCCAGATTGACCCACTCAAAACACACACACACATACACACACACACACTCTCTCTCTCTCTCTCTCTCTCTCTCTCTCACACACACACACACACACACACACCAGGCTGAAATATTGTGTGGCAGTCTTAGAATCCAGATTGACCCACTCAAAACACACACACACTCCCACCAGGCTGAAATATTGTGTGGCAGTCTTAGAGTCCAGATTGACCCACTCAAAACACACACACACACACACACACACACNACACACACACTCAACACACACACACACACACACACACACACACACACCAGGCTGAAATATTGTGTGGCAGTCTTAGAGTCCAGATTGACCCACTCAACACACACACACACACACACACACACACACACACACCCCAGGCTGAAATATTGTGACCCTCCAAGGGTCAGAATCTGATTTTATAAGAACTCGTTAGTAAATAAAAACTGGTTTTTAAAACTAAATATATATCTACATCTAGAAATTGCTTCTGTTTGTGTTGTCTCCTTTTTCTGCAGATGTTCTAGTAGGCAAAAATCATCAGCTATGGAGACTTACTCCTTTTCTGATATTCAAAGTGTTTACATTTCATTCTGCTCTCCACCAGCAGAAAGCAAGGGAGTTTTGTCCCATTAACAGTTCTTCTTTACAGCTTTCCTGATTGGGATGATTATCCTTCTAGCAGTTATGAAATTACAAGCATATAACATTTACATCAGTTTCATCATACATCCAGATGCAATGCCCACAAAATACAAAATGATTTTGTGAAAATTTCCTTTTTCTTTATAATAATTATACATTTACTTAAACTCCTAGCAGTAAATTTCTCATTTATAGGTTCACATTACAGCTGTGGGGGTGGGGGTGGGAGGATTGGTGTAGATCTTCGATAGAATGCAAGGGTGATGGGGTTGGTGCAGTAGCAGCTAGGCTTAAGAAACTTTTTCCTTTTGAGTTTATCTAAAGCTTTACTCTAGCCTTGAGAGTTGATTTAACCTTTATCCCTGGCACTTGGAGGAGAAAACAGTGTAAACTTTTAACACTTTTTGCCCACTCAGTGCTCACTTTTAGTAATGTTTGGGCTCTTTCTCCTCTCATCTCAGGAAAGAGCAAAATCAAAAGACATCACCTTGGATGTATCCCCAAACCCCCAACTTTAGCCAGAATTGCCAAAGCAGCCAGGGGATCAACAGGGAACTCTCCTAGCATTGGATCTATCATTCTCAAATTACACTGGCAACTTTGATCCCTCATAGTAAAAAGCAGCTCACATACTGTTTCATATTATGAGCTGCCCAGGCATCAAACGTTTGTGATACTCTACCTCTTCATCCTTTCTTTTCGCAGACAATGCATTTGCCATATATTAGTGAGATGGTTTGGTAAATCCCACTTCTGACACCATTTTTTTTTTCAGGGGCCTTCAAGACCACTGTCAGGTTCAGTGATTCCCTTAGTGAACTCACAGGACTCAGCATATAGTTCAAAGTTAAAATTACAGGTTAAATTACAAAGTTAAAAGATTTAAAGCAAAATCGGCAAGGGGAAAAGGCTCATGGAATGAAGCCCAGATAAAACCAGGCACAAGCTTCCAAGGGTCTTCTTCCCATGGAATCACACAATATGTATGCAATTTATGTAATTTCTCCAGTATTGAATTATAACAATGCATATAAAATGTTACCTGCCAGAAATGGTCTTTAGAGACTCCATGTCCAAGGTTTTGATTGACAGCTGGTCGCATAGGTACATTTTGACTAGCATGTACCAAAATTCCAGAGTTTCTGAAGAAAAGCAGGTGATTAGCATATGCCACATTATTTGTACAAATAATTTTGGTGCTCTGAAGGACTCCTATCAGTTAGGATGGTGGGAACCCTCCTGAAATCTGAGTTCCCAGACATCAGCCATGGATCAACCTTGCAAGAGGCTTTTCTAAGGATAGCCATCTGAAGCCTGCTATGCTAACTCTTTTCTACATAGTAAAGTAGAACATCCTCAGACAAATGGGGCTGCAATTATAACATCGAATAAACTTAGTTTAACTTAATAAATTCATTTAGATTCAGCAGGACAACGAAGAAGAAAAAGGAGAGCTCCTAGAAGTGAGATAGCTTTATACTCTGACGCAAAATACCACCTCTAGATTTTCCCCTGTAGTAATAATAATGGGTGATAAAGAGTACCTAATGGTGGAGGGCACAGTGAAATTAGGAGGACTTATTGACTTTGAAACAGTGGGTGGTGGAGTGGATTCTTTTCCAGTGAATATAAACAGTTTTATACTGTAGCAGCTTGTAGTTGTTCTTTGTAGTTAGTTTGAGAAAGAGAATTGTTGTCTTTTAATCTTATATGTAAACTTGTGCTAATTTTATATGTATATAATTATTAAAGATATATTTGGGAAAAATCAGTTCCCCAAAATGTAAACATAGAATTCACTTTTTAAAAATTTCAGGCATTTAACACTGCTTAAAAACAGTAAAAATTATTTCCTTTTAAAACAATATTTGACTATAGATTTCTAAACTTTCATACATAGTATATAATTTTTATCTTTTTAATTGAAAATGTGATTGATTTAAGGTATGAGGCTTCAGTTGAGGCTAAAAGTTCACCTTTCGGGGCATAAGTAATTTTTTTTCTTTCTCTCTTTCTTTCTTTCTTTCTTTCTTTTTTTTTTTCCCCAGACAGGTCTTACTCTGTCACCCAGGCTGGAGTACAGTGGCTCAGTCTTAGCTTGCCACAGCCTCTGCTCCCCAGGCTCAAGTGATCCTCTTACCTCAGCCTCCCAAGTAGCTGTCACTACAAGCATGTGCCACCATGCTTGGTTATTTTTTTTGTATTTTTGGTAGAGACAGCGTTTCGCCCTGTTGGCCAGGCTGGTCTCATCAAGCAGTCTACCCCGCCTCAGCCTCCCAAAGTACTGAGATTACAGGCATGAGCCACCGTGCCCAGCCAGCATGAGTAATTTTTGTGTCTGTCTCAGATACATCAACTTTGAGACCTTGGCTTCCTAATTCCAAGATAAACCCTTCCAGTTTAACATTTTCACTTATATTTTTGCATTAAGGACAATAAAATATTCAAAAATTATGAGAACAAACACTGAATAAATAGAGATGCCAAAGTTGCTGTACAATTAAACTATTTGCCGACAGCACTATAGTGTAAGGGCTTGAAATGTTTGTTTTTCAGTCATTGTATAAAATTCTGAATTCAAAGTTTGAAAAATAGTTGTGAAGGAGAAGTTAAAGTATAACACAACATTTTGAGTAGTTGAAAAGTCAAAGGTATGAAAGCTGGATACAGCCTATGAAAATTGTCAGTTATCTGAAAAAATTTGCTTATTTAGAGAGCTGTGATCATTATAGGTATTGTGTTTACATGGGAAATAGAAAAGTAAGAATAATGTTTCATACAGTAGTTGTATTCCAAGTTTTGACGGTTTTCTGCTTGTAGACCTCATTCTAGCTATTTTCAGTGTTCATTTGCCAGTTTGGCAAAAAGAAGCAGGCTTTTGAATATAGCTTTTGCAGCTATTTTTATTTCTTCTTTAACTACAGTATCCTTTTCTACACTGTGAAAGCTATATACATTTAAAAGACATCTAAGAGGAGCCAGAATATGTTGTATTATCTCCTTGCTTATTGAGAAACCTCAGACAGCCAAACTACCATGGATATTTTTATTACTCTCATGATAATACTTCTGTGTTTATGTAGCCATTTTATTTGGAATGCTGCCATATTAAAATATTAGAATAACAGAAAAGTGAATTTTAATTCTGGAATTTGTATTATAGGGAAGTTGCTTTCTCAGTTAAAAGATTTTTCTCAGCTCAGGTAATTTTCACTACCCTCTAATACTTAGAAGTGTTCCTACAAACTGGGTATTTATGAACTTCCTCCAGAGTAAAGCCACATTGGTCTTTAACTTAATATGCAGTTTGGTAAGTTAAGCCCCAAATCTCCTAAATCAGACTTCATTTTTAGCAACATTTTAGACTAACACCACTTTGCTGCCTGTCAAAGGTGTGTGTGTTTTGTACATACTCCCAGTAGAAGGCCTGTCTCTTGTTCCTGGTTTTGTACTTATGAATTCTGTGTTCCCTTCAGTTAGCACAGTCATGTGCCACATAACAATATTTTGATCTACCACAGTGGTCTTATAAGATTACAAATAGAACTGAAAAAATTCCTATCACCTAGTGACCTCATAACATCATTGTGCAATTATTTTATTTTTTAAGTAAATTTAATGTGGCCTAAGTGTACAGTGATTTTATTTTATTTTATTTTATTTTGAGACTGGATCTCACCCTGTTTCCCAGGCTGGAGTACAGTGGTGCACTCTCAACTCACTGCAACCTCCACTTCCCGGGCCAAATGATCCTCCTGCCTTCACCTCCTGAGTAGCTGGGAGGCATGTGCCACCAGGCTCAACTAATTTTTGTATTTTTAGTAGAAACAAGGTTTAACCATATCGCCCAGGCTGGTCTCAAACTCCTGGATTCCAGTAATCTACCTACCTTGGCCAATCAAAGTGCTTGGATTACAGTAATAAGCCACTATGCCCAGCCAAGTGTACAATGTTTATAAAGTCTATGGTCATGAACCATAATGTCCTAGACCTTCACATTCACTCACTGCTTATTCACTGATCACCCAGAGCAACTTCCAGACCTGCAAGCTCCATTCGTGGTCAGTGCCCTATATAAGTGTACCATTTTTTTTATCTTTTATACAGTATTTTTACTGTACTTTTTCTGTGTTTAGATGTACAAATACCATTGCGTTATGGTTGCCTACAATGTTCAGTATAGTAGCATGGTATATAGATTTGTAACCTAGGATTGATAGGCTGTGTCATCTAACCTGGAGGTGTAGTGGACTATACTATATAGATTTATGAAAGTGCATTTGGCATTGGCATTGATGAAATCTCCTAATGATGCATTTCTCAGGACATATCTGTCATTAAGTGGTGCATAGCTATATTTGTGAGTTGATTACATAGGAGAGACCTTTGTTAATAATGGCAGTGGCCTAGAAAAGTAATGAAAATTGAATTAATCTTTAAGAGTATAGTTAAAATATTTATTTAGTTTTTAACCTATCAAAAGTCAGACACCTAAGGAATGAAGTCTAGACTACCAGTTATAATATCATTCTTGATATAGAACATAGAGGTGGTGACATTTTCCTTCCCATTTCACTGTCTTTTAAAAATGAGTAGTAGATTATTTGAAGGTAATGACTGACATTTAACAAATCATTTGTAGAGCTAGATAGAGGAAAAGAGATAAAACTGAGCAGTTATTTTATGCCAGGCACTGTAATATATACTTTACCTTTGTTTTCATGACAGTCCTGAAAAGTAGGTGGCCTTCTCTCCATTTTACAGATGAGCAAATGTACAGAGAGGTTTAATGGTTTCTGATAGAACTAGGAAGGAAATATGGGATTCCAACTCAATTATTCTATGCTCTGCTCCTTCCACCAAATCAAAGGTTGGCAAACTGTGGCCCATGGGCCAAATCCCCTTGCCTGTTTTTATAAATGAAGTTTTATTGAACACAGCCACACTCATTCTTTTGTCTTTTGAGTTACAATATCAGAGTTGAGTAGTTGTGACAGAGATGATATGGTTTATAAGCCGTATTTACAGAAAAAGTTTGCTGACTGCTATACCAAACCAATACATTGCTTAGAAGTGTTATGAACAGTATGCATTCAGTAAAATAAATGTCAGTCTTCCTAAAGCATTAGACTTTGACAAGAACAATAAACTAGATTCTTTGTAATCTAATGAGGAAGGCAAAACATTGACAGCAAGCTGTGAATGTTCAATAGCTTTTATTTATTTAATTTTATTTTTGTTTTGAGACGGAGTTTTGCTCTTGTTACCCAGGCTGGAGTGCAATGGCGCGATCTCGGCTCACCGCAACCTCCGCCTCCTGGGTTCAGGCAATTCTCCTGCCTTGGCCTCCTGAGTAGCTGGGATTATAGGCACATGCCACCATGCCCAGCTAATTTTTTGTATTTTTAGTAGAGACGAGGTTTCACCATGTTGACCAGGATGGTCTTGATCTCTTGACCTCGTGATCCACCCACCTCGGCCTCCCAAAGTGCTGGGATTACAGGCTTGAGCCACCGCGCCCGGCCTCAATAGCTTTTAATGTTAAATTTTGAAAGATAGTTTGGGATGATTTAAATGTAGACCTTTGTATTCCTATGATTTTACTCATTATATAATTCAAGATAGTCTGGGATGATTTAAATGTAGTCCTTTGTATTCCTATGATT